TCCGTATTGAGTAAGTTGTCGCCAAAGCAAAAAGATCCTGGCATCTTTATCATTCCATGCTATATAAGAGACAATTATGTTGTGAAGGAACTGTGTGACCTTAGATCAAGTGTGAATCTAATGCCCAAGTCAATATTTTTGAAGCACAGGATGAGAAATGCAAGACCTACCTCCGTTATTTTGCAATTAGTCGACCGATCCCATGTTTGTCCCGAGGGAAGGATCGAAGATGTCATAGTGAGGGTGGATAAATTTATGTTCCCAATCGACTTTCTTATACTTGATTTCAAGGTTGATGACAATGCACCCATTATTTTGGAGAGACCTTTCCTAGCCATAGGTTGCATCCTTATTGATTGTGAGAATGGTGAACTCATTATGTGAGTGGCTGATCAAAGTGTGACCGTGAATGTATTTCATTCTCTCAAGTATGTGGATGATTCTAAAGAATGTCAGAGTATTTTGGAAATAGACTCAGTGATAGAAGAAGAAGCATAACAACATTGCCACAACAATTTCATACAGTTGGATGATTATGAAAAGCTCTTGGAAGAAGACAAAGAAGAGCTGGAGGAAATTCTAATGAAGGTACATCAATCTAGCTTACTCATGGCTAGATCAGGTATGGAATTCGAACCCTTATATTTTGCTGAATTTATTCCTCCAAAACTTTTGCTACAGCATACACCTTCCTTAGAATTAAATCCTTTGCCAATCACTTTTCTAATGAGAAATTATTATTTGTCGCGACAATTTCGTTGTACGTTGATATTGTCAATTTTCTCATTAGTCCTATTTTGCCTCATGATTTGAATAGCCAGGAAAAGAGCAAGTTCATGCATAATGTTCGTTATTGTTATTGGGATGACTCATACCTCTTCAAAGAATGTGTTGACCAAATGATTACAAGATATGTCCCTGAAAAAGAGCATTCTGAAGGAGCAAGGATTGCTATTATATGTGTGGGGAATTTTGGTCTATATTGGTGCTTCAATCAAATGCGAAAAAACTACCATATCAATCCATGATGTTTTGAAGTTTGTTTTCCTTCAACATTTTTTATTTTTTATAGTAATTTTTTTGTTCCGATTGTGTGTTTATTTTCTTTCTTTGCTTTATTTATTTTAATATTAGTATTTTTAGTATATCAGAAACCAAATTCGAGCCAGAACAGCCAATGGAGGTCCACTTCATTGCTAAGGAGCCACAAGGAGAGATGCCCGAGCAACTAGAATTGTCGTAACAATTCCTCTACACATGACTAAAAGACGCCATAAGAGGTCTGCAAGGCGTGTGGACACTCTGTCCGCCAAGAAACCTGAAAGCAGTCGAGCCCCACCCCGCTAAGCCTGCATCAAACTCAGCGCCAAGCCCACCCCCATTGAAGAGATGCAGTAGGCGCAGTAGAGCCACCACGGTACCACCACCATCTTAGATAAGTCGAGGTACCTTGCATTGCATTACATAACATTTAGTGTAGTTTTTAACTTAATTTATTTTTTTCATTTAGGATAATGCATCTCTCAAGTTTGGGGGAGGTAGTGTTCTTAGTAGGACATTTACATGATATAATTAGCATAACTAATTTGCCCTAGCATTAGTAAGAATTAGGATAATTTTTTTGGAATAAGTTGATGATGTCCGATGAAGATGAATTCTTATGGCTATTATAAAACTGAATATACATGACTTTGAAGTTAGATAGGATTTGCTCTAGGACATGGTTGTTTGTGCTTATAATTGTTACACGATTGTATGCTCTCTATACTTAGGTATTTTAGAAATTTTTTAGGAAATAAAGCTTGTGTATTAATGAGAATAAACTAAATTGCTTAAATTAAACTCCATTATATATTTTGAATTGTGGTTAATTGTGAATAAATGCTTCGGCATAACTATAGATAGACACTCCTCTTTGTCATGTCATTACCTGGATATCACATTTTAATAAGTGGCAGCCATAGGCATACGAGTGAATGAAAGTGTAGTCACGAGATGAATCTACCTGACTAGCTCGGGGATAGAAGGTATGATCTCATTCATCTAGAGTGTGGGATAATAGTTGTGATAGGCTGACTCCCCTCGTACCAGTATATAAAAAAAATTATAACTTAAATGGAAATAGGAGTAATGAACTTAAGCCTAAATTTGAAAACATGCTAGGGCATAATAGTATATTTTCTTTAGATTTTTTTCTAACTTGACTAAGCATAGATTGGATATAGTCACGCACACACACTGGAAAAAGATCTTGTTCTAGGATAATATTCTTGAAATCTCCACTTGTCTAGCTTGTTAATGCCAATACATTTCTGAGGGCTGAAACTCTATCCCACATGATTGTCTTGAAGTTGAACTTTGCATGACATTTTTCTTTTGCTAACTACTATCCATTGCTTGAGGACAAATAATATCTTAAGTTTGGGGGTGTGATAACTTCGTAAAAAAAACTATATTTAGGGCCTTTCCACTTAAGTTATTGGTTATCTTAGAATACATATAGGTTCATATAGGTGCGTTTAGGAGCATATAATTGCATTTGGTGATTTATGTTTATCGTGGCGTATTATTTTGTAAATTGTGCTATTTTACGAGAAGGTTGTGTTTTGCTGATGTTGTGCAGGTTGATAAAGCAAAGGGTAAGCATGGAGAATTGTTGCAATATTCTCAAATGTTTAGAAAATGAGAATTGCTAAGGCAATTTGGGATGACTCATGTGTGCAGAAAAAGATAAAAAAAATAAGAATATATTTTTATGGGAGCTACCAACTGTCCATCACTCAATTGTTCTCTGATGCTAACAACCTTGGTGGGGACCACTACCACCTTTGACCCTAATTCACGTGAGGGGAATGTACCTTAGGTTACATTGGGAATTTTTGCACTAAAACCTAGGACATTACCCTAATATAAATAGAAAAGGTGGTCATGCAATTAAATGATAATTCTTTAGAGGGAAACAGTGAGCTAAGCAAGAGGAAGCTGAAAGTTCTCAACTTTATTTTTCTTTTCATCTTTTCAAAGTGTTCCTCTATAACCAAGCTCAAGAGAGTGACGAGCTAGACGTCTAAGGTGAGCTAGCATGCTAAGGTGTCATTCGTGGTGGTCCGAGGAGCAACCGGCAGCACGCGTTGGGAGTTTCCTCTACCTTTATTCTTCATTTTTCTTTTGATTACTTGGGTTGTATGGAACGGATTATTCTTTTGGATATTTCAAACCCCACTATGAACTAAACCTTATATGGTGTGGGTTTTTATGGATGATTAAGCATATACTTTAATGAATGATTTGAGTTTTTATGTTATCTATTTGTTGTGTTCATTGTGCTTAATAACTTAGGATTGTAAGAGCTATGAGAGTAGTATTTTCTTGGGTAGAACACTTAGTGTTCGAAAGAAACTAGGTGAATGATCTTTAGTGTTCGAGATAAACTAAGGGAAGATCAATGTGAGCAATAGGTTTAAACTACTAACTAAGACTTAATTCACCTTAAAGATAAGAATAGAATTTCAACGACTAAAAGGAGTAGCACTTATTCGATAGGTTCGATGTTACTATTCACACCGAGATGCATTACCATGGCATTTTTATCTATCAGGTCCCATGACTAGAGATAGAGTAGGGGCACTCCTAGTAAAATTTGTCGAGAAAATAGGTCATAAAAGCTTGAATCATTCTGAAAGGCAAGGCTTAGGATTCCTTAGTAACCCTACCATTCATTCCCATAGTAGCCTGTTGTGTAAGGATTATTAAGTTTGCTTATTTATTTTCAAATTCTCAACTCGTTTTACGTTGACATTTTTTGTTGTTTACATTTCAAGTACATCTTCAATTACCATAACATTTCCATTTTCTACACTGCTACATTGCCATCACATTTCCACAATACCATTAAATCCCCATCTGCACACATTTCATTATGCCACAACATTCTCATTTGTGCATACCACCACACTAAATATACTAAGATGAATTAGTATTCTTGCTTTAACTTAACTTCTGGGAACAATACTCGCTCACTCTTTATTACTTGTGCGATTGTGTATACTTGCACATAACTTGCGTCCAATTTATAGTACCCACAGCACGCAACAAACGTGGTATATTCATGTTCGTTCATTTAACTTTAACCGAACAAACGAGCAAACATAAACAACTAAACGAACGAAATTTCTTGTTAGTATTCGTTCATTGAGAAATTTAGTTTGTTCGTGTTTGTTCATATTCATTTGTTAAAATAATAAATGAACGAACATAAACTAATGAATATAAAATTAATTGAGTTTATATTTGAGAAGAGTTCTTTCTTTCCAAATAATTTTAGGATTTATATTTTCTTTAATTAGTTTGAGTATTTTTTTTATTTGGGTTTAAAAATTAACTAGGTTTTAAAATATTAATGGGTTTAAGGTTAAAATTTATTATGTCTTATTATTTCAAATAAATCTGTAGATTATGCTAAATATAAATAGAGAGACATAAACGAACGGATTATCAAAAGCCCACGAACATAAATGAACAAACGAGCTTTTTGTTCGTGTTTGTTCATTTAATTAATCGAACATAAAATCTTGTTCATGTTTGGTTGTTTAATAAATAAACGAACATAAACAAATTTTCCGTCGAACGGTTCACGAGTGGATCACTGAACATCTAATCCATTTACAGACCTAGCAAAAATAGATTATTAAAAGAAAATATAAATAAAATATCTAAATATATAAAAAATTAAAATTTTCAGGAGACACGGGAGCAGCTGAGGGCCATTAGGGTTCCTGTTGAAATTTTTAATTTTAATTTTTATATTAGTATAAAATAATTAAAAATTAGGTAAATTAAAAGTTTAGTATTTAAATTATTGTTTTTATTCTGTTTTTGTACTTTTTTACTTTCAATTGGATCGAGAGAGTGCATTTATATTCCCTTTAATACAAATAAAATCTTATGTCTGTTTCGTTTTATACTTGTCTAATCTTCAATGAACTTTTGTTTGATTATAAAAATAAAACCTTAATGTTATTCATCCGCATGTTCGTACAAAAGAAGAAAATGAAGAAAATGGCCATTTATGTTGCTCCATGTAACCAAAAAGAAAATCCGCCCTAGGAACTAGCAGCAAAAGCTCGTTAGTAGCCAAGCACAATTCCAGTTGCAAATTCAGAAAATGGATATATAACAGGAAAAACCTTCCTTGACGTCCCAATGCTGCCAGCGCTAGGAGCACAGAGAAGGGTTGGAAATCAAGCAGTAGCAGTCAAACAGGGGTTGAAGGCGATGCAACATGCTACCCGCGGTTGCTTTCTCCCCCGTGGTGCAACGCATGCGGGAACCGTCAGCCACTCCCCGCTCTTCACATTGTATGTAACTAACCGGTTCATTTGTCTCGATCTCAAGTGCAACATGAGCAAACCTTTGTTGCCAGAGCAAGTCATTCGAACGTGCTTCCCGTAAAACTCTAAGCACCATATGTTTGGCATTCTGTCAACCTCCTTCCACAAGAGCGTCATCTTCTGCAGCTCCCATATGCAGACACAAGTGGCAGCATTTTTTGTCAGCAATCCGATGAGCATGATCCTGCCCTTATACTCTGCAAGCGAGTGGTCACTCAGATGTACAGGTGCTGGGATAATAAATTGTTTGCATACCCCAGTCTCCATGTTGTAGGACACAATCCCTTCTGGGTCTGACCGCATAAAGTAAAGTGTGTCATCGACAAACACAGCTCGTGACTGAAAGTTATGTGAGGGTGACACCTTAATGTTTAATGGCATGGTTCCCAGTCGAGTCCATGAATTCTTCACCGAATCATAAACTTCACATTCTCCGTCGCCTCCCACCCACATGACGCTGTAGCCTCCAGTGGTTGAATTTCTGTTCAGAGTCATCCCCACGGCCATACACGACCACACTTTAACCGACCTAGGTGGCAACTCTTTAATTGACTGTGTCAAAGGATTGCAGACAGAGAATTTCCTATGACCAATGTCAAGAAAAACAACTAGACCACCAGCAGATGCAACTGGCTCGGCAATCATTTTTGCTGGTTTAAACGCAAGACGGTGCCATTTCCTCATGGATGGGTCATAATACATGGTTCCAATGTTCACATTGTCATGAGTAAAAGCATAGAACCAGGGATCGCGTAGTGGAATTTCAACACAATGTTGAGAGAAAGTTTTTGAGTCCATCAAGGAATTCCATTTACGGCAAACTGAGCGGAAGCGAAAGAATGTTGAAATGGGAAGTCTAGCAATGACAGCTTCAAAAAGGTCTTCAGGGAATTCTTTCCAAATATCTTGTTCCATAACCTCCATCTCAGGTGTATCGGCACTAAAATGTAACTTCTCTCCATTCAGATCCTTTCGTGATCTCTTGCTTGGTGGAGACTCGAAAGATTCCAACAACTTACAACTACCAGATTTTCCAGCAGCCATTACAAGACTGTAGTAATTTTCTGCAGAAGTATCATTGATAAGGGGCACAAACCACCTGCATGGAAGCTAACATCAGAAATCATGTTACAGCTTTCTACATAAACTAGACAACTACAATAAGCTTAAGACAATTAAGCTTATACATGTTTACAGCATTATTAGAGGTGCCAATTCCACCATCGACCATATCACCATCCATATGGTAAGTATCTCGACTAATTACGATCTGTTTTATGTCGAAAGAGATAGTTCAACTAGCCTCACCATCATATTGATCAATACTTAAAGCGATGTACTCAATTACCAATCTTCCCTATTAGCTAAGTTTGTGCATCAAAACAAATTCAATACACACTGCTAGTGGGTACATTGATAAAAAGAAAAATGTAAACAGCCAAAGCATCCTAGAAAATTTATTGGCATGAAAAAATTAACAAGGATTATGAAGGGAACTTCTCAAAACATCATGATATGAAAGGTAGCAAAGAAGCCTTGTGTCTGTGCAGGCTCCAGGGATGGACCGAGAGGGCTGGCAGGGGTGGTCGCCCCCCTGAAAATTTCAAATTCTCATATAATTTAGGTATTTTCTTTGAACTTTCTATTGATAACCTGTTTTCGCCCACAAAATTTTATAAGTTAGCCCCCGAGCATAAAATCCTACGTCCGCCCCTGTGTGCAACAACATGTTTCATGATTAACCTATAGACTTGTACTAGAGATCACAACCGAATTTAGTAGGCGATCATACAAGTAACTAGCAATCCATTTGGACCGCAGGTACTCACAGGTACACATCTTTATGGCCATTTATGCAAAAAAAGGAAGAAGAAAAAAACAAGACCATTCCATGAGCTTTGCATACTCAAGCCATGATATACATCATGCTTCCAAACATGCAACATGCATCTTATCGTCTTCATATTAACAGAAAGCATATCTTACCATATTTTCCTTACTAGTTTTACCTAACATTTTAATTAAAAGGGAACTACAAAAATGCACATTAGCAAGATAGATCCCAGCCACAAAACATTTTCATTAGAAAAGAACTTAAAAATTAACTTTCGCTAGAACAATATTGTAAATTGCCTCAACTTTCATTAGCAAAAAAAAAACTTGAAAATGAACTTTAGCTTGAACAACATCGCAAATCGCCTCCACTTATATATGGACCATATGGGCACAAGACAAGAGATTCCTACCCTAGCTATAACATATGCTAGTTTTTCACGATCAACAAATAAACGAAGATATAGTTGAAAAATGACAGGCACTTGTCCTCAAGTCCTTGAACTTCAAAATAGAATGCCAAGCAGGTATAACAAAATCTCAAATAACTCCTTGCAGTAAGTTGAAATTTTTGCTCAACTTGGACAGAAACATCAACAACAAGAATCAAAGGTCTAGAATTCACTAAGTTGCATCATCAGAATCACAAATATAATATGCTTAGTACTCATCAGAGTTTGTCATAAACGAGAACATTGGCGCAAAGCATATAGAATGAAAATAAGACCACAACAAAGCTAATGACCTAATGAGGTATGCAAAATTTACCCAATTTATTTTGATTGCTTTCACCAGCCGGTTTTTGTTTTCGTTGCACAACCAAAAACCTCTATTCCAACTACGTGCACTACTAAACGAAATTTTCAATTATGTGCTCAGTTACATTGCCAAGAATGATTTTTCATAAAGCATAGATATGAAGGAATATTGCGAAAGAGACCCCTTCGGCCCTACTGTGGCATATCAACAAACTGAGCATTATGAATTAACCAAGAAGCTATCCAACATGCTTTTGTAAAACTCAAAGTTTTAAAGGAGACCTTGAAAACAAATGAAGTCCAACTTGAAACCCCATAGCCCTATATGAGTTGAATTACTAGTAAATTAACTATCTTTTAATCCATACTTAACAAGGAAAAGGAGAAATTTGAAAATAACTGATAAGCATTATCACTTATTGACCACAGCCAAGAAGAAATATTCAAGTATCATTAATCAAATTATAGTAGTCAACAAGTTCAAAGTTAACCATGACAAGATTTAAAACAAAATCATCATTCCCTAACAAAGAAGAGGGAACAAGAGAATAAAAAAACAGAAAACAGCAAAAAGGAGAAAAGGAAAAGCAAAGCAAAAAGGACTGAAAAAGAATCTACATGATCGAAATACAATGAAAGAACTTGAAAATGGTATTACTCTAAAAATCAATCATGTTTGCAAAGAAAAAATGTGCAAACTAGGTGGAAATAACTACCAAAAAATCTAATGGAATTAACAAGCGGAAACCACTGAGAAAATGGAAATTTGAGAGAAAACTACGACAGTTAGCATCAGAACGTGCAAAGAAAAATGTGAAAAACACATTGGAATTCAATAACCTACAAGAAATCACCTTAACATTTTATCAAAATAAACAGAACAAATAAATGCCATAAGCAGAGAAGGGGGTGAAGATAAAATGTGCGGTGAGAGAGGAAGAAGGAACTGAAGAGATCTATCTAAAAGAAAGCAACCTGTGGCGGTGGTGGTGGTGGTGGTCGGAGGGAGGAGGAGGAGAGCCGTAGAGTTGCAAAAAGTCTTGAAGCTGAGCGATGAGCCGCCTGAGCATGGCCAGCTCTTCCATGGCCACCAATAGCTCCTTCACAACAACAACGTAAGAAGAAAAAGAAATTTCCTTTTTTCTCTTTCAATCGTCTCTCTAATCTCTATGTCATTACAATGCTGTTTCGTTGTGAGTTAAGCGAAGCGAGTCATCTAATACCAAATCAGTTTGACCCATAAACCCATAATTTCATGTAATTATTCTCACCCGCACGCTTTTTTGTCATCATAATCATCCCTTTTACCTTCTTTCCCACTTTAGGACTTTTTTTTAAATTCAAAAAACAAATAAAGCTAAATCCTTCTTACTATTTTCAAAATCATTTCTTCAACAAATTTCTATGCTTTCTTCATTAGCCTAAAGGGATTCACAGTTGTTTACAAATGGAAAATTCAGCACTTTAATTATAACTTTTATCATATCATGGATGGTAATTATCTATATATATAAATTTCACTACTTTAATCATTTATAATAATAATTTCCAAATTTTAATTATTTTAATTATTTTTTCTCTCCAAAAAAATTCCAAAGGACTTGTAGTTTCTCCGTTATGATGATTTGTCCCCACCCAACCTCTTTTCCAATATAATTTTTATGATGATTTTGTTAGATTTACGGAAGTACCGACTCCATCATCATATTCATGGCCTTTGTCTTCCCTCCATCAATTTATTATTTCATCTTATAAAAAAGTAATATATATTTTATATTTAAATTCGTAGAATAGTTTTAATGATAAAAAATATTTTTCTTTAAAAAAACTAATTTGAGTAATTATATTTATACGTTTATATTTTTAATAATTTTAAGAAAAACTTTATTTATATATTATTTTATAATCCCTTCAAATTATTTAATAAAATATGTGTTTTAATATTAAATTTGATTTCGTAATATCTATATATGAAATAACTTAAATTAGAGTAATTCTTAAAAGAACTTTTTAAGTAAGGTGAAGTTGAAACTCATGTGCATAATAATTAAACTTAGGAAGGAGTATTGAATTATGTGGAGTTGAATTGATTATATAAATTTTAAATTATTGAATTGTATTTAATTATTTGGAAAAAAATTAATAGGAGTTTTAAATAAATGATAAGTCACTGACGGGATTAGTTCGAGTGGTAAGCAGATTGATATCTCTTAAGCAAATTTCAAGTTTGAATTTTTGTGTACGTAAAAAATTCTTGCTGAGAGACTTGTCTATCAAAATCAAAGCGTGCAACGTCGGTCAGTCTGGATTAATCAAAATAAAGTCCTAGGAATCGGGAGAAAAATAAATAAATGATAAAACATGAGTAAAACAAAAAATAATCGAGTGCGGTCATACAAATACTAATACATCGGATCCTATTAAAACTCTGTAATTAAATATACTTAAGCGATAATAATATTAAGATAGATAACCTCCTAAAAAATCATCGTATTGTACCCTTAATTCTCTAAAATTTATTTATCATAAAAGAAAAACAAGAAACAGTTGAGAGTTCATTGTCATAATTGATGAGAACCTAAATTCATGGGTGCATACAACAACCGAGACTCGACCCGCCAAACAGTTCTTAGACGACCGCCCAAGGTTTGCTTCAACGTAGAGCTTCGATCTCGAAAATATTAACTTCGGCTTACCTAAACTTTACATTTCATCTTCGTTATATTTAAGGATAAACATAAAATTATGTAAAGAATATTAATTTTTCAAAAATATAAAATTTAAAAATCAATAAAAATATAAAAAAAAATTAACTATTAAAATTTAAAAATTTTGAAGATACAATTACAATCTTAATACTAGTGACGGATGGAAGTATTATTCAAGATGGACAATGCTAATTTTAAAATCTAAACTTTTAAGTTAATTATGTTTTTTTGGGTGAAATGTATGACTACAAATGGTCATATGGGATACTAATACGAGTCTCGTTAAAAATTTCTCTTATAATAAATAGAAGAAAAGTGTACTTATACCAGTATAATATAATGAATCAATCCATAGAATCCTTCGTTAACAAAGGAAGCAACCAAATAGGAGGATCAACATGAAAGATAATCTCAAGAGAAACATTTGATGTGCTTTTAGATGATGCATCGGACACATCATTCCCTTCGCGCCTAATATGATAGGTGATCACTACCCAATTTCGTCAACAAAGCTCCTTCAGATGCCAATGGAGAGAGTGATTACCAATAGTATCACTCTCAACTATCCTAATTGCCTCAAGACTATCAAGCTCAAGAACAATCTGACGATAACCTGCCTCCCAAGCAAAATACAAACCATAGTACGCGTCCCATAATTCAGCATCAAGCGCAGAATATATCCCGATAAATTCGCGAACCCAAACCATCACTCACCAAGATGGTTCACTCTAAATTTTATTTGTACTCATATGATATAAAAAAATCTGTTATTAATATATATATATATATATATATATATATATATATATATATATATTCATCCTTAAAGATATTTTAAGATCTCCCACTATTCAATACAACTTGGGGGCGTTTTCACATAATGTAAGATTATCTTTGGGAATAATATTAATGGAATGTAACATTTTATATGAATATTGTATTATCTTATTTGATTTGTTTAGCAGGAATGTAAAATTAGACCTAGCAAATTTGACTCGTACCCGATTATCCGAACCGAGACCCGATATAAACCCGAACATGATAACCCAAAATTGATCTGAAACCCAAAATAAACCGAATCGAACCAAAACCGACGAATTATAGTTTAACCAAAATCAACCCAACCCCAAAGGAACTCAAACAAAAAATCAACCTGAACCGAAATCAATCCGAACCGAAAATAACTCGAACCGAACTTTGACCCGATTTTAACTCGATAATTGAGTCTAAGTGAACAAATAATTTATTATTATTATTATTATTATTATTATTATTATTATCTATTTTTAGCAATTAGATAAATAGTAGAATGATATAATTTTTATTCTCATTTTATATTGTACAATTAGTTCGTCACCGCATTTAATAATAGTTTAATAGTTCAAAATAATCTTTACTATGTTAAAAGACCATCTCTATATCCAATAACTTCTAAATCAATCCTAAAATTTATTATGATTTATAAAATTATTTTTATACTTCCAAATATTATAATTTGATTTAATTCAATTAAACTAAAACTTTTAGCCCCGAATTTGAGATGTGACAATATATAATCACATAACTTTTTTGAATTACAAGTTATAAATAGTAGCACCAATTGTCAAGACGATAAAGAGTGAAGACGGTTGACCTAAACAGAAACAACCTGAATTAACTCAAAAATCTAAAGTTTGACCTGAACCAAAACCAACCTGAATTAACTCAAAAACCTAAAGGTTGACCTGAACCAAAACCAACCTGAATTGACCCAAAAATCTAAAGTTTGACCCGAACCGAAACTAACCGATCCGATATTGACCCAACTCGAAACCAATCGGTCTGAGACTAACCCGAACCAAATACCAACCAATCCGATTTTGACCTGGCCTGAAAACCGATCGGACCGATTTGACTCGACTCAATACCCGACCCGAAATGGATTTCCATTGACCCAAACTAAACCTGAACCTGGTCTGACCCGAATCGAACTAAATCCAAACCCGAAATAACCTAATTTGAAACGACCCAACCCAAACCCGATCTGAATGACCCAATTGTCACATTCATGTAAAATTACAGTGTTTGATTGGAATAATATAGGATTACTTAAATGCACATTTTACTAAATCATCATTGTGATATATGTTTTTTAAAAAGTTAAACTTTAATATTAAATTATAAATATTTGAATAAAAATTCATAGAAATATTTTAATCGTTATATTATCTAACTTTTGAGAAAAATGCATTTGATTAGAGGTGGCAATCGGGTCATTTGGTTCGGTTCAGGTCGGGTTATTTCGGATCAAATTATTTTGGGCTAGGATTGCATTCGGTTTGGATTTGGTTCAGTTCAGGTCAGATCTGGTTCGAGTTTAGTTCGGGTCAATGGAAATTTAGATCGGTTCGTGTCAAATCGGGTTGATTGGTTTTCGAATCAGGTCAAAATCATATCAAATGGTGTTTGGGTCAGATTAATTTTGGACCTCTTAGTTTCAAGTCGGGTCAATTTTGGATATGTTGGTTTCAGTTCAAGATAAGCTTTAGATTTTCAGATCAATCCGGGTTGGTTTCAGTTCGAATCAACATTTAGATTTTTGGGTCAATTCAGGTTGATTTTGGTTCATATTAACCTTTAGAATTTTGAGTTAATTTGAGTTGGTTCTGTTTAGGTCAATCGTCTTAACTCTTTGTATTCTTAATTATCGACGCTATACTTTATAACTTGTAATTCAAAAAAATTATGTAAAGATTATATTGAACTATTAAACTATTACTAAATGTTGTGATGAATTAATTGTACAATATAGAATGAGAATAGAAAATATATCATTCTATTATTTATCTAATTACTAAAAATAGATAATAAATAAATAAAATATTTATTCACTTAGACTCAATTATCATTTTAAAATCGGGTCAAAGTTCGGTCCGGATCTGGTATGGGTAAATTAAATTTGGGTTGATTTCAGTTTGGGTTATTTTCTGTTCGAATTTATTTCAGTTCGAGTTAATTTTTGGTTCGAATTCCTTTCAGTTCGGGTTGATTTCGGTCAAACTATAATTCGGTTCGATTCGATTTATTTCGGATTTCGAAGCAATTTTGGGTTATCATATTCGGGCCTATATCAGGTCTCGGTTCGGATAATCAGGTACGAGTCAAATTTGCCAAGTCTACATTTGATATATAATTAGTATATTAAACTTATATTTTTAAATAATTTTCATAAATATCATATCTATTTATATAAAAAAATAATAGTATGGTCCCAAGTGGACAATAATATTATTTTCAATGTATATTATCTATTTTTTAATAACTAAAGTTATATATTATTTTAAATAATTACATTTTTACAATAATATTATTTTACACCTCATAAAATTACAAATAATTACTACATTAAATATTAAAAATATAAAGTAACTTTAAATACTCAAATTTATTAATATTTAATTAAATTAAA